TCGGACCGAGATCCTGACTTGAAGACGGGAATGATAATTGACGTTTTCCATGTTTCAGGAAAGAATCCTTTTGAAATATAAACCGAGAATAAATGACTGAGCAATATGGGAAGGTCGGACGCTTGTTTAATAATCGAATTCGAAATGCCGTCCGTTCCTGAGCAGTGTGAGTATTTCAAGCGGCTTATGTGTTTCTTAATGAGATCTGAGGAGACATCAATTGTACTAAGTGTCCTATCTGAAAGTGATCGAAAGAAAGGGACCGGTTCGGACTCGGTAGCAAGGTGTTTTGCAAAGAAAGCACTAAACAACTCCGCCTTGTCAGTGTCATCGGTGAGGAAGACTTTGTTATCATTTAGCATGGGTGGAAGTTCATGACCACGCTTAGAGGAGGACCGATGACGGAAGATGTTAGCGAAGGATTTGCCAGGGTTCGAACCACTGAGAGCAATTGATTCTCTTTGCCTGTCGCGCGCTTGGCGCATCCTTGAGGCCATCTCAAATATCTCTGTGATTCTTAGATGAACAGATAAGAAACTAGTGGATGGGTCACGCAGTTGTCGCCTCAACTTTTTAGTGTTTAGTTTATTTGGTAAGGATAATAGGCAAAGCCTTTGAAAACCCTATTAATTACATGTCAGCTCGTTAGAAATAACTGTACACGAACAACAAATATTCACTATAAAAACAGTACTTGGTTCATTTGAGTAGCATTGTCTCAGAGGAAATATTTGTGGGGACCAGGGGTATTAGTTCAGATTCAGACCGTCGAGGGAAAACAGGGGACACAAATAATCATCCAAGCGTTTCTTGAAGAGTTGCAGGGATGTAGCCTCCACGACTGACTGAGGGAGATCGTTCCATTTCTCCACTACCCTCTGCGTGAAAAACTCAGAACGAAGATTCAGCCTGGACATTGTTGTCCGTAACTTCATCGAGTGACCACGAAGATTGGGTGAAAGATGCCACTGAAACATGTCCTCAAATTTCAGTCCATACTCAAGGCCATGTATTATCTTGTAGACGACGATAAGATCACCTCTTTGCTGCCTGTAACACAGAGGGAATAAATTAAGGCAATTCAGTCTGTCTGTGTAGGAATGGCTTTTTAGACCGTTTACCAGCTTTGTTGCACGCCGTTGTACCCGTTCGAGGCATTCTTGGTCCTTTACCAGCCATGGCCGCCATGCTTGTATGCCATATTCTAAGTGGGGCCGAACAAATGTGCCGTAAACTCTCCCAAAAAGGTCTTCGTCAAAATTTACGAAAGCTCATTTTATTGCATGCAGCACTCCCATGGCGTTTTTTGCAGCCTTGTGACACTGCAGTGTTGGTTTCAGGTTGTTCTGTATCCAAACCCCGAGATCCTTCTGTGAAGATTCTGCGGGGAGCCTTATATCTTTCAGGTGATAAGTCCTCAGACTCTCATTTGAATGAGAGTTGGTTGGACGCAGATGAAGGACGGCACACTTCTCCACATTGAAATCTAGAAGCCATTTCTTCGACCACGCTTGCAGTCGGTGCAGATTATCTTGAAGGGATCTCTGATCATTCGGACCCTTAATGACTTGCCAGAGCTTAACGTCGTCTACAAACATTATTTTGCCGCAGTCGAGTTCCTGAAGGCTGTCGTTAACGTAAAGGATGAAGAGCAATGGTCCCAGAACTGAGCCTTGCGGCACACCACTGGTCACATTCACCCATTCTGACATATCATCCCCGATACAGACACGTTGTTTCCGACCAACCAGAAACGCCCTAATCCAGTTCAGAAGATCTCCCTGGATGCCAATGTCGCTCAATTTGTGAAGAAGACGTTGGTGTGGAACAGTGTCAAAAGCTTTGCGGAAATCGATGTACACGACATCGACCTCAAAACCCTCTTCTAGAGCCCTGGTCCAGATCTCCAGACAAGCTAGCAGATTTGAGAGGCAGGAACGTCCTCTTCGGAAGCCATGTTAAAAATCCTGTAAGATGTTATTTTCTTCACAAAATTGCTGTATAGCGTTCTTTACTATAGCTTCCATCGTTTTGCAAGGGAGGCAAGTTAAGCTAATAGGTCGAAAGCTGCTTGCTGTCATCCTGCTACCTCCCTTATGCAATGGAACGAGGTTAGCTGTCTTCCACTGTGAGGGCAGCCTTCCTGTTCTCATTGACAGCTCAAAGAGAGTCGAAAGAGGCTTTGACAGCTCCGTTGATAGCTCCTTAAGTATCAGCCCGGGAATTCCGTCGGGTCCAGACTTATCAGGTTTTATTTGACTGAGGACGCGTCTGACTTCTTCGACGGAAAAGGCGACGGTTTTAATGACGGCAATATTTTGGCGCATTTGAAGCTCCCGGCTGTCTCGGTCCATTTCAAACTGCTGATTGTCTTCTAGGGACTCCTCCGTAAAAACCGATTGAAAAAACTGAGACAGTGTGTTCTGAAAAAAATGAGGAACAAGGGAATCTGAAGAATTAGGCTTGAGATATCTACGCGGCAAAAACTCTAGAATGTCCTTGGAAACATTGGACATGACATCACGAAGAATGGTTACATCGCTACAAGTGAGGAAGCCACACCAATCCAAGGATCTCATATAGTTATTTATTAAGTCGTTATCTACGCAGTCGTAGTTCACGTAAGTCTGAACGGCGCTTGTCTTTTTTAAAAAGGCAAGCGGTAGGCAACAATGAATTAATACGTGGTCACTGTCAAAGAGGTCCTTTTTTAAAGCAACAGAAAGAGGAGCAATGTCATTGGTAAAGATTAGATCTAAAATGTGATTATCTCTTGTTGGAGAGCGCACCAGTTGGGACCAATTAGAAAAATTGATAATATCTTGAAAGGGCTGGAATCTGGGTGGGCAGCTATTGGAAACCCAGTCTATTTCAGGAAGGTTAAAATCCCCAGTGATTATTTTAACATCGAAAGCAGCTTCCGAAATTAATTTAAAGATTTCACAGAGTTGTGAATCATCACTGGCTAAAGAATTTGGGGGATTGTAGATACAGCCAATAATTGCCTTTCTTTGCGGCTAGAGAATAACAGATGCAAAGCAGACATTTCCCGTGAATGAGGAAACATCCAAGTAATAGGGAGAGTGCTTTAGGTAGGATTTAAGATAAAGAAGACAACCACCCCCACGCCTAGTCGTGCGGTCTTGGCGGTAAAAATCGAAGTCATCTATGAGAAGGGCAGAGTCAGGAATTATAGAATGGGTCCAAGATTCTGTTACACATATAATATCAGGCGTCATTTCCAGAGCAATGGCTCTGATTTGGGCCATCTTGTTTATAACTGACCTGGCATTCAATAATATAATATCTAATGTGTTTCGAACGGCAATGCTATTTTCGACGGTATTTTAAAAAAAATTTGGAGGCGGATATGTAAGCTGTGAATAAATGACACTTTGAGAATAAGTACCAGTTAATTTAGAGTTACTGACGTACGGGGAGTCAGCGAGAGAAGGCTGAGTATGAGACCTAAAGGATGTGGGGATATAGTTTTCAAACATTGGAATGCTAGGGGAGTTAGAACATGGATAGACTTGTTGGTAGTTAAATAATGGAGGAAGGGGAGGAGGAGGGAGGCTAGAAGGAAAGTAGGGGCTAATGTGTGAGGGTAGGCCACTAAAAGAATGAAATGGTGGGAAACCAGGTCTAGATTGGACGTCAAAGGAGATAGGTTGACGTACCTGAGAGCAAATGGCTTTAAGTTTTGGGAAGCCTGAACTAGTTTGGGGCATAAATGATTTAGGGCAATTCATGTATGAATTATTTGCTGGATATATAGTAGGGCTTTGATAAGTAACCGGTACGCAGGACAGAGAATTATTCGGGGATATAATTGGAGCTGCGTGGTTTGTAGACGTGCTGGGCTGAAGAGGCATGTTAGATCTAAGAGAAGGCGTCGTACACCTAAACGGAACTGTACTACCTATCTTTTGGGTCGGAGTCTGATTCAATTTTCGAGTCTCACCGTTCTGACGCCAAGCCACGGGTGACTTAGCTGTAGACCTTACAGCACCCAGTTGGACAATAGAAGTTATCGGTCTAGCTGATGTAGGCGGATTTTCATGTGTCTCAGCAGGACTATCCGGAGGATACGAAACGTCAAATGGGGCTGCTGCTGCAGCTAGTTTGGGGGCAGGCAAATGCGTCAAGTGACTTGAGTGAGATGGAGATGAAGGAGAAAGAGGAAGGAGGGAGTCAGATGTCGCAGGAGTAGGAGAAGCTGAATCCTTACGGCCACTTGTATTATGACCGAGTTGGGGAGCATTAGACTGAGAAGCAGTGGGTTTACGCGAGAATAGAGACCCGATTCTACGCTCCATAGGAGTAAGATCATGACAAAGGAAAAATGTTGCCTTCTCTAGGTACGCAGGGACACGCTCTCGATGAGTAAAGATTGTGTCAACCTCGATTGATGAAAACAATTTGACTAAGATGGGTGGATTTGTACTACGGGAGGACAAGCGTTTGGCATCAGCTATTTTATAGTTGAAACCACATGAATACAGGAAATTGGTCGCAACATCAATTGGCCGAGCAGATCGAGGAACATTTTTTAGCAGGAAGTTGTAAGAACGCTTCTGTCTATCACTAGATTCACTGGCGATCAGGTGAACAAGTGAGTCGAGACGCCTACATTCTTCAGAGGGAATATCGGAGATGTTCCCGTCGAATAAATGTCCAAGAATTGTCAGCAAAGAGCCAAAATTTAGCCTAAGTCATTGCAGTGGTCAAGTGCAGACAGATTAAGCTGCCGACCAATTACAACGGGTGACGACTGACTAGTAATATCATCTGACTTAGATTTAGGTAAAGCTTCTGACTTACGTTTAGTTAGGCCATGTTTACTTACAAGAGCCGAGAGCTTACGTCGACCAGTGACTTTTGGTCTCATCTTGTCTCGAGGCAATTTGTGATTAAGAAAACTTCTGGCAGACAAGTTGACTGAATTTCAGCTAGCGGCTAACGATGTAAAAATAAATTACAACAATTAGGGAGAAATCGGATGCACAAAATGAGAATTGCAGAGTGCGATTAGTGAACAACGGGCATAGACTAGCAGAACTCGAAAGGAGATGGCAGCAGCCAGTTCTTAGAGAAGAGGTCTGTATTTAAGGAAATTCAACCAAAAAAAAACAGGGGCTAAATCGTTAGGTCTCACAGAAAAACCACTTAAAATAATATCCCCCACTTATCTTCAAAGTTAAAACCAGCGGCTTGAAGTGAGTGGGTTAAATGTGTGATTATACAAGAGTTTAAATAGCAAAAATAGTCCCTTTTTTAATCAACGGAACCATAAAGGATCAAGGCCCGTAAGCCGGCAACGTTCTTGGTAAGACAAATGTCGGTGTTCTGGGGTTAAAACTCTCTTGATAAAAAAGTGTTGAACGGATTCTATTTCCTTCCGCTCAGTAACACGCATGAGGCTAAATAAAAACGAACAGTATTCCAGGCCAGGTCTAACGTACATGTTGTAAAGGCGCATTCTAATGTCCCTTGTTTTAAAGTTTCGGAGGATAAACCCGGTCGTTCTACGTGCTTTGGAGACTATCAAGGCACAGTGCTCCGTGAGATTGAGACTCTTGGAGTATGATACGCCCAGATCCTTAATAACCCCAGGCACATTTATGGCGTGACCTTCAATACTTAGTTGAGGTTGGCGGTCGTCGCCAACCACCATGACTGAGCACTTATGCCAAGAAAGAGAAAGGCGCCATGTGCTGCACCACTGGGCGAAAGCCTGTAGATCGCTCTTTAGGAGCTCAAGCACGATGTCATGATCTGCCGGCTTACATCGATATGCAACATTCAGATCATCGGCATACATGAAAGGTTTACCATTCTGAAATAAATCGGGTACATCATTAACGAAAAGGCAAAATATAAGCGGGCCGAGTACACTACCCTGAATGACTCCACTACTCACACGTGTGGGGTTGGAGATAGTATTGGAAATCTTAATTCGTTGTGTACGAGTGCCCGGGTAAGGGGATATAAAATTTAAAAGTTTGCCACCTATTCCGAAAGAGGACAGATTCAAGAGAAGAAGAGCATGGTCAACACAGTCAAAAGCCTTAATGAAATCGAAATATGCTGTGTAAAGTGCAAAACCATTGTCCTTAGATTGGAGAACATAGTCAAAGAAAGAGAGTTGTCAGGTGTCACAAGATCGAGCTTTGAGGAATCCATGCTGAGCATCACTCAGTAGGTTATTCCTTATTAAGTGACACATCATCTTATCTTTGATCAATGTCTCTAAGATCTTGGAAACTGCGGAGAGGGTTTTTATTGGCCGAAAGTCATCAAATGACGTAGATTTGCCGTGCTAAGGAATGGGCAAAATGTTTGATTCCTTCCACAAGGTAGGATAAGTTTTACTTTCAAGTGCGAGATTAAATACCTTGCATAAGAGGGAGGTGAAAATCGTATTTGCATCGGCTTTTAAAATGCTTACTGGGACACCATCAGTGCCTGGACTATAATATTCACGAAAACGCCGAATCGCAACAGTCACATCCCACAGAGTGAAAGTTATAGTTTCTAGGACTGACCCAGTCAGTGCCCGGATGGTCGGAAGCGGAGTGGTCGAGTCTTCAATAAACGTTTTGGACAAGAAATCATTGAAGCTATCAGCGGTTAACTGGGCATCAACTATGGGATTTCCGAGAGCGTCTCGGAGGGTGGGATGCTGCGTCTTTCGGTGAGTTCATATTTTTCTAGAGGAAAGTTTCGAGACACTGAACGAATGGTTTTCGGTAAACTGGATCTCCTCGGCTAGCTGTTTTTCTTCAGACAACCTCTTAGCCCGCTCAAAAATATCACAAATCGAGGGCAGGACTGAAACTTCGTTCTGAAGATGGAATCGACGAAAGGGTAAGGGTAGAATAACCTCGTCCCCAACATTAATAATTTTCTTACGCGGGACGCAACGAGAAATAAGCTGATCCAAAATTTCGTACAGTTTTGCAGTGCAAACATTTGCATCCGAACTAAAGAAGAACTCAGTCCAGTCGTAGGAATTAAGGTGCGTTAATAATTCGGTTGAGCGAGTTGATCGGAGATCGCGGAAAAAGTTATACTTTGGGGACAACGTTTTGTCAGCCTCGAATTCCAACGTTGAAACAACTATGTCATGGCCTGAGCCCCCGAGTGGGCCTAGGGATGACACTGACGATGGTATGCAGCCTCTACAGAAAATTAGGTCAAGTATGCCTGATCCTCGGGTGGGAAAATCGACAACCTGAGTCCACATTCCAACACCCACAGCCTCAAGAAAGTCTTCGAACTGTCTGGGGCCTGAAGGCGGAGACCAGCAGACTTCAGGGAGATTAAAGTCACTCGCAACCAATTGATACTTAAAGCTTAAGTAGGCCGCAGCATGAAATGCCTGTGAGAGTAAACTATCAAAATTGTCATTGGCGTTGGGAGGGCGATAGACGCAGCCAACGAGTAAGGAGAACTTATTTTTTAGTGCAACCTGGAGCCAGCAGCTGCCTTCTACTGCTGAAAAGTGCGCGAGGTCCAACGGCAAAAATGTAAGTGCTTGCTTAACGTAGACGCAACTGCCCCCACAACGGCCATCTAGACGAACATTTCAGATGCAAGTATAGCCTAAACGAGAGATTTCGGAGTCAGCTATGGAGGCTGATGTCCACGTCGCAGTTACTAAAACAATATCTGGACGGTGGACGAACACCACAGTCTGAAGCAAAGGCATCTTATTAAGCAAGGATCTGTCGTTTAGAGCAAAACGTTTGAGAGGAAAGACTGTTTGTTTCCGAGGGAGGTGGGCTGCGTCGTCTAGTACTTTGCTGCCCACGGAGCAAACGGTCCGGATGTAACCATCCGGTTCTGCAAAAATTTTTGTGGCATCAAAAGATTCTGACGTGGATAAAAAGGGCTAGGACTTGGGGGAGGGAATGACGGGCAGGTAAACTGGTAACCATTGATAGCTAACTCCTTCTCGGCTGGAAATCCGCGGGCCAGATACTGCAACACATTCCCGCCGGAACGAAACTGAGGATCGGATGAGTTAACTGATCCAGTATGGACCCTAGCATGAGGAATAAATTGGTAAAACGGTCGTGGTGGAAACAAGTTAGGGGGTGGGGAATGCATTGCTTCCATTGGAGCAAGATTTCTATTAAACGGAGGGAAAATCGGCATATGCGGCCTAACTGCCTCGGTATGCGGGCTGGGGGGCAGGTGGAAACACGCTGCGATTTGAGTCGGGGTATTTGAGGCACTGTTAGGCGATTGTGGAGGAAAAGATTTTATAATGGTGCTGGATTTATCGGGTGTCCGAGTGGCTGAGACAGCAATTGGATTTGCCTTTGACTTAGGCACATGCCTAAGCTTACTAGGGATTGCTGTAGGAGTCGTTAGGGGCGTTGGTATACCAGGCGTGTTGTTGCTTCTAAGGATCTCAGCATCAATATTAGTCGAATTCCCTACGGTATTGACTATGTCGTGACGTGCGGAGGCCGCAGATAGTGTTGTAAAGGACTTATTCAAACTGACAGTAGGTGTCATTATCCTGCTGTTGGTTTTTGCCGATTTTAATTTATTCAGTCTTCGCAGCGGCGGTGTGAGGTCTGGCGAAACGAAGCAGTGCCATTTACGACAGAATTCTCTAGTTATCTCCCTTCTCGACAAGATAAAATCGACTTCTATCATGGAGAAAAGGTAACTAGGATCGGCGCATTACGGCTAAGGGATAGCAGTCGTTTAGCTTGTGCGACACTAAAACTCAAGCCACAACTTTGTGGAGCAAATGCGCTCCCTCCATAGCAGATAAGTGGCTCGGAATGTTTCGCAGTACAAAATTATGCTTGCGTTTAATTCTCTCCTCAGTTTCAGAACTTATAACCCCAATAAGTTTAAAAGCCTAAGTCAGTTTAAGTTAGTTTATTAGGGGAACGAGGCTTTCGCCCTTGAGCTCCCTATTCATATTGATAAACAGAAATAAAGTCATCAATTACATCAGCAAATGCGAAAAGTTAAAAAGTTAGCGGTAAGTGTGATCTTGGCGCAAACTGCTGCTGCTAAAACAATCATTATTATATATACAGTAAGTTCTCAAAATATGAGCATCTAGTCTTCACTTAAAGGATTTGACACATTCGGAAAGAACGACGGCATCAGGGAGTCCATTCCATGCCCCGATGACCCTGTGAGAGAAGGCGTTCCGTCGGACGTCCGAATGAGCCTGCTTCCTTTGCAGTTTGAAGGGATGACCACGCAGACGGTCAGTCCCGGCCAATTCAAAGAATTCATCAAAGTCTAGGGCACACTCACGGCTTCTGACAATCCTGTAGGTTTGAATGAGATCGCCGCGCAGTTGCCTGTAATTTAGAGGAAACAGATTTAGTTCGGTCAGCCTGGTTTCGTAAGGCAAATGATGAAGATTCCTGACCATCTTCGTAGCCATCGCCTGTACTCTTTCCAGTCGTTGATAATCTTTCTTCAACCACGGTCACCAGTCCTGAACTGCATACTCTAAGTGAGACCGGACGAATGTCCCATAGGTTTTTCCGAACAGCTCCTTGTTGATCTGCACAAATCCTCGCCTCAGCGCAAATAACACCCTTATCGCACTTTTGGCTGCCCTTTGACACTGTAATGATGGTTTCAGCGAGGAGGTCATTAGGACGCCCAGGTCTTTCTGTTCCACAACATTTGTTCAATTTCTTTTTCAGAAGTATTGTTTGTGTCGCCATATATCAACTGATCAAGTATTTCGTCGGCAGATGGCCTGCTACGACTAGCAGAGGCGTATTTTTGGAAGATTGAAGGGTCAAGAGGTTCTACATGTACTAAAGGGATTTGCGAGTTAACCATATCTGCAGAAGGCGAAGAACATATGCTGACAACTGCTCTGTCTTCGGTGGTGATTCTAGCACCCGGAGACTGTGGGGAGGCCGCAAGCTTTCGTCTTTTAGCACCAGCTCTGCGGGGCATTACAGACAAGATAAGTTTTTCGTTACAGTAGAAGGATCAAAACGTTGCTAACCTACAGAAAAACGCACTGAATAGCAAGTACTACTGTTATTTTACTACGAAAACTAGAAAGAGATAGTAGGGAAAGGACTCTCAACAAAGGTTTTTTTTACAAAATACGACTATTTTGCCAGACCGTCAGACAAAACTGGGAAAAATTATACCTTATATTGAAAGGCGACTTTTAAAAGGGACTCAAGTAAAAATGGCATTAATTGCTTCAGAATATCCAAGTAAATGCAAAGCTTCACTTCTCATTGAAATTGAGCTGCGCGCCTTGACCTTGACTTGAAATTGGAGTCCGGAAACATCGTCATCACAGGGTGAACCGATACGGCGTTGTCCAGCGACCATCTCAGCGAGGTCGATCACGGGTGAAGGCTGGAAGTGAGCGATAGAGCGCCTAGACAGTCGTCAGCCCCCTCATTCCGTGACCTGTCAATATGGCGGATGTCTGAAGTGAACTGCGACAAATAGTCCAGGTGACGGATCCCAGTCAGTCAGTCAGTGTATTTGAGGGAAATAGGCTTACGCCTTTGAACTCCCTATCTGTACATAAAAAAATCGATAAACAAGCAAAAATGTGAATAAATTACAGCATTAAGTGAATGCATACATTGATTCACATATGTCAATAGTCACATGGCTAAAAAGTCACATGGTCCGCTTGTTGCTGCAGCATATATCTGTCAAGGCGACATTTAAATGTCTCCACAGACTGAGACATAACAACTGTCTCGGGCAGGTTATTCCACGGTTCCACGACACGGTTGGAGAAGAAATATTTTCTCACATTCAGTCTACCCTGTGGCACACGTAGCTTGAAGGGATGTCCCCGTAGGTGAGTTGTAGTGGCGAGTGGGAACAAGTCATCGCGCCGAAGGGCACAATCCAAGCCGCGCACGATACGGAAAGTTTGTATCATGTCTCCGCGCAACTGCCTATAACTCAGGGGATAGAGATTAAGGTTAGTTAAGCGGATCTCCCGGGGTTTAGTTTATCAGAATGGGAATGCAAAGTAAAGTTGAGTGGCTTACGGTCCGTGAAATTGTGAACTCTCGACCTTGCAGTAAATGCCGGAGGTGCCTTACGTCAAGATAAACGGCAAGAAATTCACGTCCGGATGAACTGTAGCGGATTTCGGCCCCGGATAATTTCCTGGAGAAGAAAGCCAAAGACCAGGTCGCTTCAGGCAGACGTTGGAGAACCGCGCCGACAGACACACTGGAAGCATCGACCACCAGAGAGGTGTATGAATAAGCATGAATATGAGTCAGGTGGACGGCAGCAACCAGAAGGGCTTTCGCCTTCTCAAATGACGTGTGCGCTGCTGATACAAGTCCAAAGATGCGCTTAGGACGGACGAAGAGACTGGTCATTGTCAGCGTCAAGGATAGTAGTAGGAAAACCGGCCACCACAAAGATCTAGGGTAAAATTCGCCTGAGACCAATGTTAAAGGTGATGGATCGGGATCCAAAAGTCGCGATGGGGGAGAGTTTACGGTCTGGAGAAAAAGGCCACGGTTGGGGCAACGCCAGTCGGCTGGAGTAGGATGGATAAAAGTAATTCGAGCGTCACTGTCGACTAAGAAACGTCTGCCACTCGTGTTATCACTGATATAAAATGTGCGAAGAGTAGAGTTGCCAGATAGCTCGGTCATATTTACTTTCCGGCCGGGGAGTTTCCCTGCGAGAACTTGAAGGAACAGGGTGGGGCACAGTGACGCGCCTTATCGCCAAAGTTCGCATGATACCAACATAAGTTTGCAAGAGTGGGGACGACGATGGTCACGACGGAAGGAACATAAAGGTGGGCTGGCAGATCGGTGCAGCTGCAAAACGGCAACAGTCCCCGACAATTGGGCAATCTATGTCTTGAGCTCGGCCAGGTCAGAGGTGGGCGCAGTGAGAGACTGTTAAACCTGAGCATCCGCCCTGAATGACAAACGCACAATCTCTATCATACGGTCGGCCATTTCCGCTAGTTTTGAGATGTCTTAATCATGTGAGCCGGAGGCCAAGAATTTTTGCACCAATGTCGGCAGACTTCTAAGAACATCTATTTAAAAAACTTATCCTCAATGACCACATCTCCAACAAGAGAACGCCTACGACGCAAGAGGGACAACGGCCTGCTACCACCTAAGGTCTCTTCTTTTAGCACAGCGCGATAACGCTGGCGATCTGAGACTGAGGTCAATAGAAGAAGTTCAGCCCTTAACTTCGTATAGAGAACATCATTTGGGAGATCACGCAAAGATGTCTGCACTTGGGAAAGAATGGTAGAAGGAAGAGCCTTCACCAACTTTTAATACATATCGGTTTCTCGTGTTACTCTCGCAGTGTGAGACGTTGCCCCAACACGGAAGAAATGAAGTCCCTCCGCATGTTGCCAGAATTCTGGGAGAGACTAAAAGTAAATAAAATAAAGTAATTTTATTAAAGACCCATCGGGGTCCGGTCATAGCAAGTAGGAGTAAACTTATAAATGAATTTTTCAACAGGTAGACAGAATCTATACAAAACATAATTCATAGTTATGGAATAAGAAGTCCGTTTCGAAGAATGATGAGCGAGCAGTGAAAAAACTCCCTTATAGAATAAAAAAAATCGTCGGATGAATTTTCAAGGAGAAAACACGGTCGCTAATGAAAAGATAAAAATGCGGGTAAGAGGGTTTGAGATTTTGCCAGTCCAACTGAGTGCGAATTGATAAGGGGCCTACCTGTTTTTGAATACTTACATGGACAAATTTAATAAGTAATATGAACGTATCAGAAACCATGACAATTTTTTTAACGTGCAAGTTGGGTTGACTTCAGCTAACTGTGGGTGGGGAGAGTTCGACCCATAGTTTCGACTGCGGCGGATTTTCTAAATAAATTCACATGGATAAGATTTCGTAAAATCCTCTGGGTCCTGTCAAAAATGCTATTTTACACCTAGGGGTCCGGTCTCACCTGTCTTTACAGCAGCCGTACCCCAGTCTACGTCCTGCTTTTAAATATTCAGGTGGCGTGCTCTGATAACTCAAAGCTTTCTTCCTGTCATATGCGTATGCGTGGGGGCTTGATACAAACCTTACACGCTGTGTCTTAGGTGGACTTCTTCTTCCGGTCTGGCTGCATCTAGACATTTGAATGCATTAATCAGGAGTCATGAATAAATTCCATTAACTTTGAATTTTGTACGTTTTTGCCAAACCTGATTGGTTTCCCTCGCAGTCGCGTTTTCGTAGTGCCGCCAGTTTACTTATCCGCGCGTGCTTGGTCAGTTGTCAAACATGGTACGCATCTCGAGCCCTGTTGCTACGTTAGCTTTTGAATTATTAAATGATTACACTAGAACGCCGCACTTGTATCACTTTCGGGTCGACGAGGTCCCCCTTTACTCCGGCATCCATCCGATTAGCTTACAATTGCGTAGCTGCACGAATAAGACTGTTTTATTTTCCGCGGCCTTGTTGCGTGCCTGACTGCGTAGCCGAGCTATAGGTCTTCATGTCTACGTGTCCGCTCGACCACACAGATCTTTCCACGAGAGAGATATTGCTAAGGTGCACGAGAGAGACACAATCCGGGACTGACATTCCACGCATTTCAACACAATCGTCATCTTCGAATTGATTAATTTCCATTCCCTTTCCGCACCCACACACATTATCTATGTGGTTACGTCCTCCGGCATAATGAAGTGAATGCTCGAAATTTTAGAATTCTAGAATTATGTCCGCCCACGACGTACTGAACCTCAGGCATGTTGAACTGTGCAAGGTAGTATGCTAACAAAAGCAGCCTCTATGGTTTCGTTTTGAGTGGTGACCCTTATACGCGAGACTTGAAAGTCTTAGATATGGCCTATTCTGGGAACCACTCACATTTATTAGGGAGACTGTCATATTCTGTGGTTGTTTAGTCCCAGTTTGTTGGAGAATCACAAACTTTCAAACGTTGATAGTTTTCGGTACTTACTGTTTTTAAGCAACTTTTTCAAATGAAATTGTCCGGCGACATAATATCCCCCCCACTAATCTTACTTTTAAGTAATGCGTGTATCACCTCGGAAATCACTTCAATGAACATACTAAGTACTTTTTTTGCTCTTTTCAGTTCGCCCTTCAACCTGTCAACGTCCTCAGTGCAGGCGCTGATGAAGAAAAGGCAGAGACTGCCCGTATTGTAAGTCCTCCGCTTTCATTATTTCAAAGTCTTCGTTCGTGGGTGCAATTGCCATAGGCGATCTCGTCAAGAGCACACTAGGACCTAAAGGGATGGACAAAATTTTGATGACTTCTGAATCTTTTGAAGTGACAAATGATGGGGCAACTATCCTCAAGTCCATTGGTGTTGATAATCCTGCCGCCAAAATTCTTGTTGGTAAGACTGATAACCGTCCCAAGAGTCATTTGCAGAGATGAGCAAGACTCAGGACGACGAAGTTGGGGATGGCACGACATCGGTTACCGTTCTTGCTTCTGAACTACTTCGTGTAAGTTGTCTGACATTTGTTGCGCTCCAAGCAGACATGTTTCCGCCTGTGCCGATACGCCTTTAAATGCATGCTTTTCGGTTTTCGGCAGAGTAGGCCTGACCTGTATGTACTTGTGCTTAGCAGTTAGAATCCCCGCTCTTTATCTTACAGGAAGGCGAACTGCTTATTACAGCGAAGCTTCACCCACAAACTGTTGTTTCGGGCTGGCGTGAAGCCTCCAAGGTTGCGCTAGAAGCACTTGAGCAATCGGCCAAAAACCACGCCGGAAGCATGGTCGAACTCCACAAGGATGAAGCATTCAAGGCCCAGCTTTTAAAAATTGCGCGAACGACTCTGAGCTCTAAGCTTCTCACCCACCACAAGGAGCACTTTGCTAACCTCGCCGTCGATGCGATTCTCCGCCTGAAGGGTAGTGGCAGCCTAGACGCCATTCAGGTAACAAACATTTTATCTTTCGTTTATGATCCCTGCACCACGCCTCTCATCTTTAAATTTTCTTCCGTGTTTTTATGTCCAGTTAGCGCGGTGGCAACCGGTTCGAACATTGATTTAAGGAAACGTTAGTTATGCTCATACTTTACGACAGATTTTCGCGTATGCCCCCCTGATTTTAGCGCCACGGCACTCTATGCCATACTCCAGTACCTGTTTCCTCGGTTTCGTGCGGTGTGTGACATCCATTACTCACCATAGCGCACGACCACAAGCCTATGAATGTGACCAAAGCCTGTCATTGTCTGCTTACTTTTATGGAATTTCAAATTCCATAAATTGCTTGTAATGTTTTACAGCGAGATCACTGTTTTCAGATGTTTTACGATGATTGATTTTATACGACACCACCACTGTTCATCAGCATTCCTAAGCCACAAAGCCATTCCCTCTGGAGTCCTCTTCGATTTTTTCGTTCCTTGTGTCGTTTCGGTTGTCTTAAAACGTGATACCGTAGTCTGCTTCTCCGAAGCTATCTTTTTTTAGTAACACGAAGTCAGCAATCGATGGTTAACTTTAACGTGCAACAAACTCCAGGTTGGTTTTTGCACCATATTCGGTACCGTGATCTCACTTTTATTGCGCGGATTGGCATCCATTTCACTTTTTGATCGACAGTCTTTAACAACCTATCTAGCGGACTCGAAGCACTGCTCTCCAGTGACAAATACCGGGCGCCGAGGACCTAAGGGTCGACTTGGGCTTTTGATGGCCCAATTTAATTCCAAGCTAAGGCCGGCCGCATTTCCATCTCTTCCGGGAAAGAGCGACGTTAGATCTGGGCCGGCACTAATAACATTTGCCAAACTAACCGTTCCTCTTGAATCACCCGAGCATAGCTGCGTGAGATCTAGAACGCGCTGCAGCTGACGGCGACACCAGAGGACTGTATGCGATTTTGGAGATCTTATATCTTTGCCGTTACGATACTAAGCAGCCAACGTATGTTCATAACTTTATTGTAAACTCGAAGCCCCATTTGAAGAAGCATTTCGTACAGCTCCTGGATCCGACAAGCTCGGTCCCTACGGCCAAATTTAGTTGAAGGACACCAGCACTCAGGCATAGTCGCGACTACAGTTGACCGCCCATCGAAGCGATCCTTGACGCTGTCACAAAAGTGAACATCAAAACACAAAGTTCGCTACCAAGAGCCCAGCGATCAGCACCGGTCTAGGCGATGACATTCCCCGCATTTCCGTTCGTTCCGCAGCGATTTGTTCTCGAGCGCTCGAAGCAGTTCACTCTCCCAAGCTGTCAGCCGTTTATTACGAGAAACGATTTAACTTCGTGTCTAGTTGTTTGATAGGTCTGTACATGCCACAGGGAAAGGGAAGAGGGTGTGAAATTCGCCCTGCAGTATCCTTCATGAAATTCAACACACCATGCTACTATAGCTTTTACGCGTTTGAAGCTACGGTCAGTGACCGACCTCATGAAATGTTGGCCGAAATCCTGAAATACGTTTTCGATTAGGAAGAATAACTTAAGTGGGGTTGAATAGTTGATTATCATGCGGTATAATTCCATGATATTTTAGACACCAGAATGCTGACTTTTAAATGTATTTTTTATCGGTCGCATGCAAGAACCGCACTCGATAAAAAACAACAGCTCAAGTAGTATGCGCTTTCACATTGGTTTTCGGCGTTCTTACAAACTCAGATATATTTTGTCGAAAACATGCACAAAATACCCTTATACTCATTTGGTAACAAACTACGTCTTCGAATTTTACGCATAAAGAAGTATATCTACCGGTTTTAAGTTTTTCAATTCCAGAATAATTTTGAGCCCAATCTGCCATTACGTTTGCGTTTTGGGGTTTTCAGTCTACATGCTGTGTACTTCCAGTGCAAGGAGAATCGTACCGAGAAGATACCATATAGGGCCCACACTTTTTTCAATGAACGCGGGCTACTTTGCAGTCATCACGAGGAGCATCAATAAACCGACCAATACGACGCTATTTGACTGAACATTGCACAGTCTTAAAAAAGCTCATAATGAGAAACTTTTTTAAAACCAAAAGATGTCCAATCTTCATGTACAAAATCAGGAGACGTAGTTTGCTACCAGATGAATACGACAGTTGGACCGTCGTTTCCGACGATATCCACCGCGTAATACACAACAGAGTTCAAACCGAGACGGTGGCTTGCACGTGAATCCGTTTGTAGTGATAGTATACTTGTCCAGCATCTACCGCATTGTTCCCCTACCTGGGCCCAGTGTCATGACAAAGTCAAGAAGACCGGAGACGGGAGGGGGCGCGGGTGACTGGCACGGTGAAAGCCTGCACCTAAGTGTACCGCCACATGCCCGGGTCCACCACGCACAACTGACCAGGAATAGGCGAATCAGATCCTAACTAGTGTGTCGTGGACCTGCACCTGGGCCTGCCGCCACGTCCCAAATGTCGGCATTTACTGTGAGTTCGCACTCCCAATAACGCCTGCCGGACCTCGATCTAGGCTGGGATCAAGCCTGCATTGTTGATGGTAGGGCGGTGATGGTGAGAGTAGTGATTGACGACCGCTCTTAAAAGGGGCCTCCCCGTAGATGCGCAGGACTAACACCAAGCGAATAGCAGGAAGGGTATTTTTGTGCACGCTTTGTATAAAATATATTTGAATTTAAAAGGACATCAAAAGTTAGGACAATAGTGCATACAACGTAAGTGGTCCCGTTTTTACCGAACATTGTTTTTGCAGGCGACCTATAAAAAGTAAATTCAAAAGTCAACATCCTGGTGTGTCCGAGATATCATGAAGTTATGCAGCACGGTTGCCAATAATTTAACCTCGTTTATTTTAGATTCCCTAACCGAAAGCATCTCAGAATTCCGGTTAACATTTCATGAGATTGGTCACAGACTGTATACAACACATTAAAAGTAGTGGCTTGTAAGGTTGCCACCTGACGAGATGTTTCAATCCTCTGAAATTAGGTTTGAAAAGTACTGACTCATAGTATGGCTTCTATGGCGCCTCCTGCAAATGGAATTTGACCCCGTGCATGACGGACATTAGACAATTTTGCGCTATCTCGGCTATTGTACCCAACCCAGTCTTCAGTCGGCTTTACTCGTATTATCCACTAGCGCAGGGATAGAGAATAAAGCTCGAGGCCGATACTGAGGCATCGTCCCTCAGTAGCTCGGCAAGTGTTTTCCATGCTGGTCAATCTTATTTGCCTGAAACTTACGTGCTATAAATCGTTGCTCCAAAGGTGGTCAACGGAGGGGATACCGCTCCTCCACCGGCCTGGGAATTATTCCTCAATGACCATTTAACGCGGCCTCAATTGCAACTCTCCTCATTGAGAGATCCGTGGTTCACTTTTGAGGACTAGTTAACGTATGTGGATACCAGAGCGTGTGTGAAACGAATGCCGAACTCCATTTCGCGGCACCACTTCGACACCCCATTCAACGAAGTTAAGTGGACTGGGCCACACAATGGGTCGTTCTCACACGCCAGGCGAAGCACTAGGGGGTTGTAGGATGACTATCCGCCGCGGACTCGGTAAACGGGATCGAACACCGCAGCAAAGTAAATAAGACAAACGGTAACTGGTATCCATAGCAGATTTTGATGGTGGGCAGTAGTGCCAGTATTTAGTTGCTGCATCAGCGGTTTGCGCGGAACCTTATTTTATTGGGTCTTGGTCCTGCAGTGCGCACACCAGAACAGCCCGTACCTAGGATTGTGATTGCTGGCTGACTACGACTAATAGGCCAGAAATGTCCACCCCAGTCCTTGTATTCGTTGGTACTCTTTCCCGGCATATTATGGCTAACAAGCCAAAAGCTGGGCGCTCTAACCACTGAGTCAAGGATTTATCCTGTCGGTTTGCGCCCATCGATCGTGCTACAGGATCTACTCGCCCCGTTTTACCTTGGGGCTCGATCTAGACCCCCTGCAGGCAGCTCCACAGCGACTTAATATCTACCGAATAAATTGCTGTCAAGAACAAGGAAGACTGGGATAGCCATCTCTGGTTTACTAACCGCCACCAATTGGGAATGCCTAACCCCTGAAATTTGAACCCGTGTTCGAACGGCAGCAATTGCTTGTACTTTCTTGTCATTTTACTCATATACTCATATTGCATGGTCCGCTCTCAAGTGCATAATTTGGGATTCTGCTTGTTTTTAGATCCTGCAAAAGTTGGGCGGGACCCTTTCTGATTCTTATCTGGACGAAGGATTTCTTCTAGACAAGAAGGTTGGGGTTAATCAGCCAAAGCGCATTGAGAACGCAAAAATACTCATTGCAAACACTCCCATGGACTCGGACAAGATCAAGATATTTGGAAGCAAGATTCGTGTCGATGCTATTTCCAAAGTCGCCGATCTGGAATTGGCTGAAAAAGAAAAGATGAAAGAAAAAGTTGAAAAGATCCTGAAGCACGGGTGCAATGTCTTCATCAACCGGTTGGTTTTCCACCCTTTTCACTCTTAAGCAGCCCTGATTTTGTGTTTCTCCTCCATTTCTGGTTTCATGCTCGCAAAACATGATCATATACTTTCTACTCCTAGACAACTCATCTACAACTATCCGGAACAACTTTTTGCCGATTCGAACGTCATGGCTATAGAGCATGCCGACTTCGAGGGGGTTGAACGATTGGCACTCGTAACTGGTGGCGAAATTGTGTCGACCTTTGATACACCTGAAACCGCCAAATTGGGTCATTGCGATCTCATCGAGGAGGTATTCCCCCTAATTCTTTTTGTGCGACTCTTTCGTATCTTTTTTGGCCATCCAGTGTCGGCCAATATACTTGAATTTCGAGCATTCAGTCTCAACTTCCCTCTCAATCATTGTAAGGCTCTCAGCCATGCTGTAAAAATAACTAGGCTTATAAATCTTAAGCAGGTGCGAGAGCGGGGAATGCCACAGCACTCCAAATCCGGAAGTTTGTTTCATCAGGATAATTTTGCTTCTGATAACGCTCCAGTACGCCCATTAAGCCTTCCAAAGTCATTTCGACGATTGCTTGCTAGTTTCTTAGATTCCACTGATTTTTGCTGTTTTTTTGCAGACTACCATTGGTGAGGATCGCCTTATCAAGTTCTCGGGTGTTGCCCTTGGCGAGGCCTGCACAATTGTGCTGCGTGGTGCCACCAACTCAATCCTTGCTGAGGCCGAACGTTCGCTCCACGATGCTCTCTGTGTTCTTGCACAAACTGTAAAGGATCCGAAAACGGTGCTGGGTGGCGGGGCCTCAGAAATGCTCATGGCGAATGCGGTAGCTAAGAAGGCGGCCGAGACTCCCGGTAAGGTGGCAATGGCAATGGAGGCGTTTGCAACTGCCCTTCGTCGTCTGCCTGGAATAATCGCAGACAACGGCGGTTTTGACAGCGCTGAGCTGGTGGCCCAGCTGCGAGCTGCGCACGCCTTAGGCCAACATACCATGGGTTTGGGTACGTTGTTTATATTATGGGGTTTCACAGATTTGCCTTTCAAAATTGCTCGGTCGGTCTCCCATGGGCTCCTAATTACGTCACATTCAGCCCTGTTACCTTTAAAGGCTGTGCGTATACTTTCTTTCCAATGCACATTTAGGACGTTGACTGTGATGAATTGAAAGCTTACTCCATCATTAATAAAGACTAGTTGAAGTCAGCCACCAGGCCAAAACACTTGGCAGGAGGTATAGTTAGGCGTGATTCTTGATTCAGTCTCACACAGTCATCTATTCTGTCGAATGACTCTCCAGTTATCTATTAACACTTTTTGAGATAGATCAAACTTTAGACCAAGTCAATGGCAATCGACGGTACTAACGAAAGCTTCATCCGTGTAGTATGCGCCAGTCTCTACACTTTCGGAAGTCGAGGACATTAACTGTCTGCCTTAGCACCTCGGCTGCGTATGTGCGACTGTGAATTCAAAAGCGTTTCCCCAAAAATTGTCAGTTTTTGTTTCATGGGAAGTTAGGCTCTCGATGTTGTGTTTTCACACTTTTCTACATACAGCCACCCAGTATCTGTATCCCAGGCGTCACGCTTTTGAACTTGAATTCCTTTTAGACATGGAAGAGGGCGTCGTGACCGACGTTGAGAAACTGGGAATTGTCGAGTCATACAACGTGAAACGACAGATGATTCTATCGGCCTCGGAAGCAGCCGAGATGATCATCCGTGTGGACAACATAATGCGGGCTGCTCCTCGCAAGCGTCAGGGACGCGCGTGAATCTGATCCAATGCATTTTTATGCTCCGTTAGGGCATTGCTTGTTCTCTTACATAAAACCCCCTGTGCAACATTTTCTTTAGTTCTACTTTTTATTAGCTCAGAAAAGCCGGCATCGCCTTGTTTAATTTCCTCGGAAATTAAACAAGGCAAGTTGAAACTGGAGTTCATATACCAGAAAACACACGGGGAAAGCTGGGGGACCCACTGACGAGCCGAACCCCTCGCAGCTGCGTCAGGCAGCGGCACAAGATCGGCGAAACACGCGTGTCTGGGCTTTTAGCTAATACCTGTGTTGTTAGTACGGTAAATTATTGCGCAAAGCCGGCATCTTCAGCTAACGGACTTGCTATCTCGGTGCGGGCATTTCTACCAGCGCAAATTTCAACACTCAGTTCGGCGGAGAAACTGAGTTCTAAATGGTTGAGTCGCTAAAGGTTATCAGTGTGTCCCTACATAAACAACCCGTGATATTCTTGGATCACTTTATTCGTTAGCTCCCCCGTAGAGTGTTTATTATTTGTCCAGATGGACTGTTCACTTGGTCCTGTACAGACTGATTCTACAGGAGGGGGAATTCCTGCAAACAGTGAATTTTAGGTGATCCTGAGCCTACTGTAAGGACTTTGCTAGTGTGTCTTCGTACCTGCTCCCAGTAATTCTTCCCGACTGTCGTATGAGTGGGAATTTCTGATTTTTCAATAGCAACTACTGGAATCTAAGTGTTTCGAGTGCTTATGCCGTCATTCACAGGCCGGGGAGGTGTCACGCAGATTTTGGTGCAGGTTTTGGCCAAAATGGGCCGGCGGTGCTCGTATTCGCATGCACCCCCTTTGCGAATGTTCTGGTCGGGCTTCTTGTGTGTGCATGCTAGACGTTTCAGAACTCTGAGCCGGTCCACGTCTAATTGCTCTTGACGAGAGTGACCTGCACTCACTTCCGTACTCTAGGTCGCGAGGATGGCCTTTTCTAGGGTGGTTTGAGATAACTTTCGGTAAAAAGGCTGGACATGAAATCAGTTCGGCGATAAGACTCGTATTGCCAGTTTTTTTCGGAGTGGAGGGACAGACCATTCTCGGCTCATTTGACAAGCTGAGTTAAAGGTGCGTTTTCTAGTCTGCACTTAGGGACCTCAGAGGCCTGACTTACTTGAATCTTCTTAATCCAGGCCTGGGCGTGTCTTGACCGGTGCCGCACGCGTCTAAGTAATTTGTGCCTGAGAGGCTTAAACTACAAGTGGACGAACATCTGCTTCCAGGAGGAAACTGCGATCTATCGAAATGGTCCTCCGTCGCTCTCAAGCCATTTGTCGGTGTCTTATTTCATACGATCGGGGCGGTGTCCCTCTATCGATGGCTGCTTTACGTAAAGTTGAGGGAGAATGGGGACGCTCGCTGAGGCAGGCTGCTTTCTAAAAAAACATCCGGGTCACGAACTCACGATTATTTGCGTCCCGGGGACGATGCTTTTGTTCTGAATGCCATGCATTTCGGATCTAAGGGGATTGCCCTGCTCTCTGATTGCAGAGGCTGTCTAACTGGCTTGCTGTTGATGTATGGATGTTAACTAGAGAAACTAGTAAGCGACCAGATCTTCTGTTCTAAGGAGCGGTTCGGAAGCCGAGGAAATTCTGGATCGCGTCTCGTACTCCGTACTGCGCGTTTCCACCACTGAAATAACTGCCACTCACGGTTATCAGGAGTTAGTAAATGACGATTTTGAACATCAGGCGAGAGAGTCAGTAGGTCAGCAATGGTTTCTGACTAGGTTCACCTTCCATGTGGTAGATGACATAGCCCTGAGCCGAATTATAATAAGGGAGGCTTGCACAGGATCAAGATTATCCCTCACCACCTTTCCCGGGTTGAAGGCTGAGTTAAGATGGCTCGAATAGAGCTGAGAAACACTGATTGCCCAGACGGATAAGCAGCACGGTCTCTGATTAGCGCCAGTCACTCGCTCCGATCAGTAATCATTGTTGGCCGCTAATGCAATTTAAAGTGACAACAACTGTCTAATCAGTTTTGCCTTGTGGCGTCTAAGCAGTCGGAATATTCAGAGCGCTATGATCATCAGACAAAGTCCTGAATAGCAGGAATGGACAGGGGGCAGTACAAGGAGGGATTTGCTGTGCATGGGAATCCGTGTTTTTGTCTCAGGCAGCAGTGGTCGCCGGTGTTGACCGCGTCAAGTCGGGTCTGAGGGGGAGAGGGCATGTGACAAATGGTGGTAGCTGCTCTTATAAGTTTGTGGAGCGGGCTCAACTGTTGTTAAAGTGGTGTGTGCTGCATTTGCCGGGAGATGGCGTATCCGGTGGCTTCCATTCACTGAGAGGTGGTATCCTTAAGTGGCGCGTGGGAGGCGGCGACTACGCGGTTACACGTATGCCCGAGCTGAAGTTGGTCGAATGGCTGCGAGTCAGCACGTACGGAACCACTCGCTGCGAGGGTGAATGACCTTGAGCCAGGACACCAGACATCGCAATGATGACCGCCTCGAGAAGCTTCCGTTTGCTATAGAAGACAGTGGCCGGCTTCGCACTCTGTTGTAGTACCAGCACTGCTTCCCATGCGGTTTGTTCGTCTCATAAGGCCACTTATTTCTTGGTGGAGATCCCGGCGGTCCATGAAGGAATGGAGTCTCAAGTTCTAGTGCGAGCAAGTTCTTTTCAATTACCCGACAGTATATTAAGCGGAAATGGCCGTCAGAGATGATTAACGTACCGTGGTGTCATTGTTCAGCATTCAGTTCGCCCAAAAATTTAAACAGAACGTTCATTCATGCTTTTTTTTTACTTAAAACATCCCAAGCTGGCTAAATAACCTTATTTAACTGGTCTTCCGATCAGTAAGTCCAACTCGGTCACTAATGACTGGCGCGGCGCGGGCTTGCACATAGGCGTGCCACCACCTCCTGTGTGCGGTATTTGCTATGGGTGTGCATCCCCACTAACGCTCACCCCGCCCTGATCTGGTCTCCACGTCGACCCAACTCATATACTTCGTGGCCCGTTTAAGAGGTTTGTCAAGACAACGGGCCGCGCTGGTGACCGCGAACAGATTGTCACGGTTCAAACTCAAAAAACCACTTTACATATGCTCGGCCGGCACCAAGGACGCTATGAAAGGTGTCTACCAGAAGGCGATCTTTAAGCCAACGTGGCATTTTGAAACCATCGGTAAGAAGATGTCGATGAAGAATGGTGCGGAATCCACCTTGTTCTCTTTAGTGTCCATGGTGTTCTACAAGAAGGCTAGGCAATGCGCATCGCGTCTCAATGTCAAGTTTTCACCCACAGATTATTTCGATTCGGCTGAATTAACTTCCGCGTCTGACTCATTTCTTCTTATACGGGCTGGTTGGTTTGTTTTTTTTTTATAAGAAACGTCAGCATTGTTTTTAACCAAGGATTCATAGAGGGAGGTCCGTACCCACTACATCTTGAGCAGTTCTCGCTTCTGAGAAGTAGGCGGACGTTATTTCAAAGTGGGAAAACGAGAATTCTCACTATGAGGTCGCATCAGCCGGGTTCAGCCGATCGCAGCACAGTTCTGGCTGTGTCGAGGTAAACGAAGTTACAACGGCCCGCGAAAGCAAACTGTGGCTGGGCCAGTTTGTGGAAGTTGGTCGAGTGCTGATGCTATTTAACTACTTTATCCGAGATTTTCTCATTCTGGTAAATCTATTTAAGCTAGTGATACGAGTCGGCGATGTGTGTGTAAATTTGGTCTTGGCGACGTTGCGGTCCATCGCGTTAAGCACTTTCATAATGCCTACAGGTTCTGTGGGAGACTTTGCTTCCGTAGTGTCTACTGACTGCATCGTGACAGTAAACTTGAAGAGGCGGAGGAGTATTCTCGTAACCGCCCACTACTTAATATTCCTAACGCAGCTGACAGGACAGCTGACCCGTGGCTTAAGGGTGGAGAGTTAGGCTTAATGCTCAGTTAGCAAGGCATCCATCCGGGTTCGGATTCTCGATCATGCAAATCTGGGGTTAGGTATTACTGACTGGCTAACGACGGTCAATAAGCCACAAATGGCTGTCCCAGTCTCCCTTGTCTTTGTCGGTATTAATAGTTTGATCGTCGCACCAGACGATGTCCACCATGTAGTCCCCAATAAGGTGAGTCAGGCACGGTGACGTGCACATGAATTAGTTTGTGGGGAGTGTAGTCTTGCGCTGCATCTGCCGCACACTCTTCTCCCCCCTACCTGAGTCCGGTTTGAAGACGGAGTCAGGAAGACCGGGGCGGGGGTGGATGTCGCGGCCGAGCTCGCACCTTGGCGCCCCACTCCAAATTTACTGGTGCACGTCAAATACATGGCCAGGATTCTAACTAACAATCACACCAGAACAGGTCAGAAGGAGGAGGATGACTGGGCAACCATGCTCACGACCTGTATATTCGGCGAGAGCGCAAGCTTATCTGCTGGCAGGAGACCAGGTGTCAGAGAACTGCCAGCGCAAACCAGGCTATGAGGGTCATGGTTCGCTAATCCTGGCAAAGCAGACGCTTACGGACCTTTAGGCCCAGAAGGATGACACGTGCCCCTGTATCACTACTTGAAGAGTTTGTAGTGGACAGCCATAATGGCAACATCGCGCCTCTCGCTAACGCCAGCGCCTACGCCCTAGCGACAGCCTGCTATGACACGCACGTCTGCCCGGCTTCGATGTTTCTCGTTGCAATTCACTGTCTGCACCACGCATTCGGTCGATTCTCTGCCTGCACAACGCGAGGATTGTCACTACCCTCGCGTGGCCTCGGAGCCAATCAACGCAACTCCTATCGCTGATTGGTAAGACAGGCGGAAACAGTGCAGAACAATAGAGTAAACAATCTACAACGACACTTTTGCGGCGGCGACCTTCGACGACACAGAACTCGTCGCTCACGCGAACGCCGCCTCCGCTGCGCCGGACGCACCCTCGTCCGGTTGCCAACTTTCCCCTTCACTATTCTGTACAGAATAAATTGTCCTAACCGAATGGCGTCC